TGGGTTTCAATTACGTGGGTCTGTACATTTGTCTAAACTCATCGGATGATGCACTTAAGAATTGCGCATTTCACTGTAAGTAAATTTTACCCCAAAAGTGGGTGTCTATATATCTATCTAAATGCACAGACTTGTTATAATAACTGCCATTGGCAAGCCACACATTTGTCTAATAAGTTTTCTAGAAGTCTCAATACAAAAGGACTTTATTTTTGCTTGCTGCCTGTTCTTATGTATGGTTACCTTGCTCCTAAATAATAAACATCGCCTCTCTTCAGTAGGTCATCTGAGAGGGCCTGAGATTCTTTGTGCCTCTTGGACCCAGGGCAGAGATTGTTTTTCCAGGATGCCTTTCAGTCATAATTTTATCATATATTTATTAAGTTACTATTTATACGTGCCACTGTCTCAATTGCTTTGGGAATTGATTAGCAACCATGACAGACAGTCTAAAACTAGTACACAAGGGTAAAGCATATTTCCCAAAGCATGTTTGGTCCTTGGAATGTCCTTGAGTGGTGACATGGCAGAACTTGAAGGACCCTTCATACTGCCTGGTGCACACCAGGCAGATGTCAAAGACTGAATAGATGGTCAGGAGGGAAGTCAATGAACATGCTATCCTGAAGGAAATGTTTCAGAGCTGGTAGAGTGTTCTAAGATCTCTGAGACCAAAAAAAAAAAAAAAAAAAAAAAAAAAAAAAAAAAAACCAAAATAAACAAAAAAAAAAAAAAAAAAAAAAAAAAAAAAAAAAAAAAAAGGTAAAGATCTAAAATTTCTTTCTATAAAAGATAAGCAAAACTCCAGCTGATCTGTCAATATCTGACATATTTGTCCTAACTGGAACAAGCTTTTTACCAACTCAGGAAGCTTGCAGGGAACAATGATCTCCATCACTGTGGCTCCTAAGTGGAGAGAGAGAACAGAAGGATGTTTTTCAAAGCTCCATTACTTTACAGGGATCATCCAAGACATTAGAATTTACCGTGGACCCAAGGGGTATGATTGTAGAGCCTCCCAACAGTACTCACAGAATGAAAAAAGGAAGTGAGGAAGGAGCTAACCATGACAACAATTTGTTTTCAGTTCAAGAATGAGATATGGAGTACATGAAACTGAGCTCACTAGTCATCATTTTGATTCCTGCTCTTCCACCATGATCATAAAGACCAACTCTACTATGGAAAAATGAGGGACAGGGTTGAAAAAACGATTGAAAAATAATACCACCACTGAGTTTCCAGACAGAATGAAAATAATGAATGCAGGTGAATTCTGGAGCATCATTTAGACAAACTAAGGGGGATTTGAACATCAAGATTCAAGTTCATGATTCAGCAGGAAGCCTATTGGCATTTCATCTTGGAAATGAATAACACCAGATCCTTGAGGCTGAAGAGAAAAAGAATTACAAACCACCTATATGTGCACACACACATTATGCATATGGATGTGTGAATAGAACTATGCACATGGACACATCCAGAGAAAATAAATTACACAAGTTAATTTCCAGAGTTCAGAACAAAGCTGGATATCCCAGGAAAGGAAGCTTTTAAAGTTTAGAGGAGAGAGAGTTCCGTGGGCAGGAATTGCTATGAGAAATTTCCTAGAGGAGATGATTCTTTGCCAGGTAAGCCAAAGGGATCTCTGACACATTCACAGAAACACAGTGTTCACAGCAGGCAGTAGAAGGAGTGATGTGCCTAGTTCAGTGCCATATCTCCAGTGAAGCTGCACATATCTGCAGTGATTTATTGTTATTCTATCTCTAAAGGGCTGATACACAAAAGAGGACGTGATCATGTTCCATGTAGCCAAAGGCTAAGCTAACACCCAGGATAGAGGTGCAGGGAAATAAGCAGACTGATCCAGAATGAGAAAAAACCTGCTGACTACTGTCCTCTGGAAATAGGAAAGACTTTTGAGGAAGTAGAGGAATCCCTTTCACTGAACCACTATTTTCTAGATATTTCACCTCATTCTTTCCCTGGCTTCTTCCTCATAGTTTATCATCATCCTCCACATATTAGTTATTTATTGTTGCATAACAAGCTACTTCAAAACTAAGTGGATTGAAATAACATGTGTTGTCTCACAGTTTCTGTGGGTCAAGTTCTGATTACAGATTAACTGGATCCTTTGCTTCTGGGTCTTTCACAAGACTGCAACTAAGGTTTTGACTAGGGGTGGGATCTCATCTGAAGGTTCAATTGGGGAAAGGTTTACTTCCAAGCTTACTTAGATGGTTGGCAAGATTCAGTGCCTTGAGAGTTGTTGGGCTGAGGTCCTGAGTAAGTTGGCCAGAGACCTCTCTCAGTTCCTTGTCACATTTGTCTCTCCAATCTGGAAGGTTGTGTCACTAAAGTCAGTAAGTGAGTGTATTCTCTTGGTTAAATGCAAGTTACTCAAGGAGAGAGGATGACACAAAGCCATGAATACCATGAATACCAGGAGGCAAGGATCACTAGGGCCATCTTAGATGCTGCCTATCCTACTCCAGATTCCACTAACATAGAATATCTTCTCTGAACTCTGTGCTATCCCTCATATTCCATGATGCTGTTCAAATGCCTTGTTGAGGTTGTGGAAGAAACAAGCAAGCCCAAGAGCTGTGCCAAGCTCTGTCCCTAAGATGGTCTTCTCCTTCCTCCCATCCCTTGCCTGTCTCTTCATGTGTTAATTCTCCCCCATTGTTCAAGGACTTGTCAGAAACTGACTCCCCATTGAAGTCTCCCCAGGGCTTTACATGGAAGTTCCTCCAAAATGTCCACAGCCATCCCCCTGAGCACTTGATTTGGAATTATTGTGCCCATAGCTGCTGATCCCATAGTGCATGGATGGAGGGCATTCCAAAATAACATTTAGCTCTCCAGCTTCTTTTTGAGAATTTTTAGCATTTTGAAGTTTGCAGAAGTTCAAAAAGGACATGCAAATGCTTTCTCTAATTTCCCTCAATGGTCTAAGTGTGGAAAGTTCCAACAGGAACAAAGGAAGAAGGAAAAGAAGGCTTCCTGGAGTGCTTTTGGCAAAATTGGATCTTGGGGACATTGTCTCAGAAGGATAAAAAGTTTCCTGACTTTGTACAATTCTACTTCCAAACTTTTAATCACTTCAGGGAGCATAATAGTCCCAATGGCAGCACTGATTTCAAATTGCCTTTTACGTGTTCTGGCTATTCATTCGGAAATTTTGCTTAAAACATAAAACCAAGACTGAGTAGGAAGAACTAGGTTTCACTCTTTTCTTCAAATCGTAGGTGGCCATCTCAACCAGAGTCTTTCAAGCTAGTGCTGCTATTTCTGGCCAACACGCCATTCCTAAGCTATGGGCACATTTTCTCAGTAGGCTACTGACAAAGGTAAGTTAGGGTTCTTATAAGAGTAATACTTAACCTTTTTATTAGCGCAGTCACATTCCTAACTTCTGACTTGATTTTCCAGCTGGGTTGGGACTTGAGAAAGGAAGGAATGAAGCAATTTCAGCGCTATCACAAAGATTGAGGCCCATGTGAAACTCCTTCTTGGGTCAGAAAATCTAGATGGCAAGAAGCCTATGAAACTTTTCAGTCTTATGTCATGGACTCACCTAACTTCAGAGACTCCCCCAGAAATAAGATGATCATATGGTTTCAGAGCCTCTTCTGTTGACTTTTCACAAACTCAGGTAATTCCACAAGAAGGTGAAACCACCACCATATGAATGAGAGAAACTCAGGAGGCTGCTGGCTTGGTTTAGAATAAAGAATGTTCTGACACTTCGGAGCTCTGTAAATAGGAAGCAGGCTGTTTGGGAATGTAGTGAGCTCTTCATCACTAGAAGAGATCAAGCTGAAAGCCCATGCATCAGTGTTCTGCAGAAAAGGACAGAGGTTGGGACCAGATTTATTTGGGGGGCATAATCAGTGTGGCGGTCTACATCTGGGTGACATACTTAGGTTCAAGAACTCTTAATTCCTGTGTGGACACTCACCTCAGTAGAATGATAAGAAAAAAAGCACTGCTTTAGTTACCAAAGAGAACTAGAGTCCCAGAAATTGTGAGCCACTATAGGTTTCTGGGGCCAGCCTTCTATTTATCTTCATGAAACATCAGATTCTAATATTAGGGACATATTGAAAATTCCAGAGCATGAAGTTACCTTGGAACCCTTTCCCCTTTCCCTTGCATCTCTCTTTTCCTGAAAGACCCAGCTGGGGCTAGTATTGCCCATGAGAAAGATCTTGGGCAACAACAGGAGTTTGCTTTATACAAAAATTGTCTAAAGAGAATAAGTAGTTATAAGGTAAGGATTCATAACTAATTAAGTCACTAGTATCTGGTACAAACTTGGGGGACCACGGAAACTTTAAGTCACTTTTCTGATCAAAGTTTAATGAGGTAAATTGCCATGTAGGATGTAGCACCCCTAAATGAATGTGTTATGTGTCTTTGTCACTGATCACATGAGTTACATTATCAGAGTCATTTTAAACCTTGTGCATTTGGTGTCCTGTGGCCCCAAAATAATTTTTTATTTTGTTGTCTCTTTTTCTTGGAAATAAATAAATATCATAGACTTTCAAAACTGTTTTTTTTTTTTTTTTTTTTTTGAGACGGAGTTTCGCTCTTGTTGCCCAGGCTGGAGTGCAATGGCGCGATCTCGGCTCACCGCAACCTCCGCCTCCTGGGTTCAGGCAATTCTCCTGCCTCAGCCTCCTGAGTAGCTGGGATTACAGGCATGCGCCACCATGCCCAGCTGATTTTTTGTATTTTTAGTAGAGACGGGGTTTCACCATGTTGACCGGGATGGTCTTGATCTCTTGACCTCGTGATCCACCCGCCTCGGCCTCCCAAAGTGCTGGGATTACAGGCGTGAGCCACCGCGCCTGGCTCAAAACTGTTTTTTAATCTCTTAGCCAGACTGAAACTCTAGACCAGATGCACTGCTCCTATGCAAGGCAAAGAATGTTGAGTTTGGACCTCTAAGTATTTCCTTCAGTTGACAGAGGAGATACACCATGGTAAATGCCAACCGGACAGCCTCTGTGACAGAGTTTGTTCTCCTGGGCCTCTCTGCTCACCCAAAGCTGGAAAAAACGTTCTTCATGCTCATCCTGCTGATGTACCTGGTGATCCTGCTGGGCAATGGGGTCCTTATCCTGGTGACTGTGTCCAATTCTCACCTGCACACACCCATGTACTTCTTCCTGGGGAACCTCTCCTTCCTGGACATCTGCTATACAACCTCCTCGGTCCCCCTTATCCTTGACAGCTTCCTGACCCCCAGAAAAACCATTCCTTTCTCAGCCTGCGTAGTGCAGATGTTCCTCTCCTTTGCCATGGGAGCCACAGAGTGTGTGCTCCTGAGCATGATGGCATTTGATCGCTATGTGGCCATCCGCAACCCCCTTAGGTACCCTGTGATCATGAACAAGGCTGCCTATGTGCCCATGTCTGCCAGCTCCTGGGTAGCTGGAAGCACTGCCTCCATGGTGCAGACATCCCTTGCAATGAGGCTGCCCTTCTGTGGAGACAACATCATCAACCACTTCACCTGTGAGATTCTGGCTGTCCTGAAGTTGGCCTGTGCTGATATCTCTGTCAATGTGATCAGTATGGGAGTGACCAATGTGATCTTCCTGGGGGTCCCAGTTCTGTTCATCTCTTTCTCCTATGTCTTCATCCTTGCCACCATCCTGAGGATCCCCTCAGTAGAGGGGAGGAAAAAGGCCTTCTCCACCTGCTCTGCCCACCTCACAGTTGTGGTCGTCTTCTATGGGACCATCCTCTTCATGTATGGGAAGCCCAAGTCTAAGGACCCACTGGGGGCAGACAAGCAGGACCTTGCAGACAAACTCATCTCCCTCTTCTATGGGGTGGTGACCCCCATGCTCAACCCCATCATCTACAGCCTGAGGAACAAGGACGTGAAGGCTGCTGTGAGGAACCTGGTATTTCAGAAATGCTTTGCCCAGTGATGTCTGGGGGAACAGATGTCCACGTAGCTCTTTGCTTCTTGGCTGCTTTCACCCACAAATCTCAGAAGAGAATGTTTTCCAAAGAAGAGACATGTGAAGAGTGATTACCAGAAAATTGAAGTACTCATGTAATAGAGCACTTTAGCTGTGATTGAACCCAATGAAAATGTTGAAACCTAGAACCCAGGGGGAGTGTGGCTTGAGGGGATGGAAGCAGGATGCTGCTGGTTACACAGGAATGATTTTTTTTTGTTTCTCCACTGTTCAAGTCTGAATTCAACCTTTGTGAGCAGGTGGTTTCTCTGTTTTGGGAAAAACACCCTAGTGCACTTTTGTGTTACAAAAATGTAAAGCCCAGATCCTACTCTTGAAAGGAGGCACTGAAGACACCATGGGACAGAACTTAATGACCCTGCCCACTTCCTTAGCATAGTGCTTCCCAATCTTTGTCTTGCCATGGAGCACACAGAAAATAATGCGTATGACACCCTGGGGTGAGTGGATGAATCTATTCATGGCTGAAGGCAATTCACCTGGGGGCTTAGGTCACTACAGGTTCTGCTTAGTAATCCCAGGAAGACTCTCAGCTTGGCACATCTGTAGCCTATAACACATTAGCTGGAATGTTCTGCCTAAAGCAGAATATGTCTTCCCTTAGCCCCTACTGAGAGGACAGTCATGCTCTCTCCTTTGGCCACAGATAATTGGATAGTTGACCCAAACTGGGCTAGTCATATTTTCTCTCCAAGGCATTTGGAATTTGGACATAGAGTTACCTCTCACTTGGCCCAAGGTTCTTGAACTGATAGACCATGTAAAGCTGTGATGAATGTGGCCCTGTATCTAGCAAGGAAGAGAAAGCTGTTCTGCAGAGAGAGAGATGATAAAGCAAATGTGCAAAGAGGACCAGACCTACATGAAACAGAAATAAAGGCTGCAATACTTAGGCTAGGTACTAGGAACTTTTTTTAAATTTTATTTTATGGGATAATTTAATCCTGTAGAAAGGATAAAACTTAGGTATTCATCTTCTAGATCCAAAGATGATCTGCTCCTGGAAGATCGTGTGTGTGTGTGTGTGTGTGTGTGTGTGTGTGTGTTTGTGTGTAATCTTTAATTTTTAAAATTTTCCTGGGTACATAGCAGGTATGTATATTCATGGAGTATATGGGATGTTGTGATACAGTCATACAATGTATAATAATAACATCAGGATAAATGGGGTTTCCATCACCTCAAGCATTTATCCTTTGTGTTACAAACAATCCAATTATACTCTTTAGTTATTTTAAAATGTACAGTTATTTGTTACTATAGTCACCCTGCTGTGCTGTCAAATACTAGATCTTATTCATTCTATTTTTTGTACCCATAAGCCATCTCTTCCCCTCTACCCTCTCACCACCATTCCCAGCCTCCAATAACTATCATTCTACTCTCCATCTCCATGGGTTCAATTGTTTTAACATTTACCTTCCACAAATAAGTGAGAATACGCAAAATTTGTCTTTCTGTGCTGTTTATGGCCAGTCTTGCTCTTCTGTAGCCCTGTGGATTATTTATCCTTCTCCTTTATCATTCTAAAGCAAATCCCAAATGATAATAGCATTCCATCTTGAAAGATTTTAGTATTTATATCCAAAAAAGATTAGTACTCATAAAAATATAAAGTCCCATTTAATATCTAACACATAAATAAATCCCCTAAAACTCAATAATTTCTTGATATCATCAATTATCCAACATTTATATTTCCAGAAATATCTTATAAATTATTTAATTTTTAAATTGAACCAGGATCCAAATAACAGCATACACTGTGATTTGTCTCTGATATGGTTTGGCTGTGTCCCCACCCACATCTCATTTTGAATTGTAGTTCCCGTAATCTCCACGTGTTGTGGGATGTCGTGAGAGGGACGTGGTTGGAGGTAATTTAATCATGGGAATGGTTACCCTCATGCTGTTCTCATGATAGCGAATGAGTTCTTATGAGATCTGATGGTTTTATAAGGTCCTTTCCCCTCCCTTCACTTTGCACTTTTCCCTTCTGCCACCATGTAAAGAAGGATCTTTTGCTTTCCCTTCCCTCATGATTGTAAGTTTTCTGAGGCCTCTCTAGNAAGGTAATTGAATCATGAGGGTGGTTACCTCCATGCTGTCCTCATAATAGTGAGTTCTCATGAGATCTGCTGGTTTTATAAGGGGCTTTTCCCTCTTTTGCTTGACACTTCTCCTTGTTGCTACCATATGAAGAACATATTTGCTTCCCCTTCTGCCAGGATTGTAAGTTTCCTGAAGCCTCTTCAGCCATGCTGAACTGTGAGTCAATTAAACCTCTTTCCTGTATAAATTATGCAGTCTCAGGTATATCTTTACCAGCAGCATGAGAATGGACTAATATAGCCTCTTTCAGTCTGTATTTCCCCCTCCCTTTTTCTATCTTTCCCTCTGCCTCTGTTCCTCCCACCACCACACTGCTTTTAGGCTAGATTATTTTTTTGGAAGGAGTAGTTTTCCGTAATGGGAAAGTATAAAGTTTACCACCGTCTGATTTTGCTGATTGCAGTTCTGTGGTGTCTGTCTTTGTGTTTTCCATAAATTGGTAATTATATCTAGTTACTTAAGTTTTTTTTTTGTGAGTGTGGCGTTATGAGCTCATGGCTCCTGACACCTTCTGCATGAGAGTAATTGTGAGAAAGGCCCTATTTTTATACTTTAAGGGAACATCTGTGACAATACAGAAAAAAACTTGTGCCTGTGAAACTTATATTCTAACAGGAGAGAAATAAGCAATAAACAATTACAAAAATACAAGATGTTAGAAATTTTATGGAATCAAGACTGAGGCATAAAGGATGACTGAACACATGCATCTAATTTCATTCCTCCTAAAAGCCATGAAAACTATAGTCTTCCTTTCTTTCTGATAAACTTTACAAGGTTAAGGAGAAGTAAGATATCAACAGTGAGAACACTGTGAAAGTTAGGAAGCAGATTAACTAGTGATAATTGCCGTAGCAGATCTGACAGAGCCAAATCCCAAGCCAGAAACTTGGAAAGCTAGGTGTCTTACTCCATTTTCTGCTGCTTTAACAGAATAGCTGAGACTGGGCAATTTATAAACAGTAGAAGTTTATTTGGCTCCCAGTTATGGAGGCTGTGAAGTCCAAGAGCATGGCACTGGCATCTGGTAAATGCCTTTGTGTTGCATCATCCCATGGCAGAAGGTGAAACAGCAAGTAAGAACATAAAACAAGGAGAGAGAGGAGGCCAAACTCCTGCAATAACTCCCTCCTGCAATAGTGGCATTAATTCATTCATTAAGGCTGAGCCCTCTTGGCCTAATCACCTCTTGTAGGTTCCACCTCTCAGCACTGTTACCATGGGAATTAAATTTCACCATGAGTTTTTGAGGGGACATTTAAACCATAGTAATAGGCAACGACTAGATTTGTAGCACAGAGAAACTCACTGTACCAAGTACCTCTAGGACTGGGTGTAAGAAGTATTGCTAAAGAAGGAAGACTAGGTGACAAATGTATAAGAAACAGAGTCCCTATACCCCTTCATTCATTTCCATGACATTAGTCAACTATTTCTTGCCCACCCCAACAAAAGTTTTATTCTCTGTAGAGGGTAAAATCATGGCTCTCTGGACTGGCAGACAACAGCCATGGTAGAGAGGTACTTTAGTCTTTCATGGAGTAAAAAAACAATTAGCATAAAAGATCAACAATCAAAATGGCTTCTGGTTGTACCAGAATTACCTTCAAATTCCTAAGGAAGATGATTTCCAGTAAGTTCCTAGAGTTCCACACACTATTGCGATGATTGATTAATTTTATGTGTTAACTTGACTGGGTGATGGGGTACCCAGATATTTGGCCAAATATTATTCTGGAGATGTCTGTGAGGGAGTACCTTTTGAATGCATAGATTGAGTAAAGCAGATTGTCCTCCCTAATGTACTAAGCCTCATTCAATCAGCGAAAGGCTTGAACAGAACAAAAAGGATGAGTAAGAGGGAACTCCTCCTGCCTTTGAGCTGGGAAATGAGTTTTTTCAGCAGCTCTGCTGGGCCACCAGCCTGCTGACTACAAATCTTGTGACTTGTTAGCCTCCATAATCACATAAGCCAGTTCCTTATGACACACACATACATGATTAGTAATATTCCTCTGGAGAACCCTGGCTAATACACCCACCAAATTATCGGTCATTTAAGGAGGTTAAATAAAAATATGTTCAGACATATAAGATCTCAAAAATGTATATACAATACACTCTTTCTCAAGACATTATTCAAGGCTGAGTGCAGTGGCTCATGCACTTGGGGAGGCCGAGGTGGGTGGATCACCTGAGGTCAGGAGTTCAAGACCAGCCTGGCCAACATGGCAAAACCCCATCTCTACTAAAAACACAAAAATTAGGTGGATTGTGGTGGCATGTTCCTGTAATCTCAGCTGCTCAGAAGGCTGAGGCAGGGGAACCACTTGAACCCAGGAGGTGGAGGTTGCAGTGAGCCAATATTGTGCCACTGCGCTCCAGCCTGGGTGACAAGAGTAAGATTCAGTCTCAAAAGAAAAAAAAAGGAACTTATTCAAGAATGTGCTCTATCAAAATAAGAGATTAAACCAAGAAATAGAAAGAAATTGACAAAAGAAACAGAAGTTCCAACACATAAGAGAGGTGTAAGGAGTCCCCAGGACAGTAAAGGAGATCCTGGCATGACAGTTGTACACCCCGCAGAGAAGGCAGCCAGCCCAGAGGGCAGCCCTGTGACTCCAGAGACAGGCATGTCAAGGGCTCTCATTCGTAGACCCCTGCTGCCTATGATGATTAACTTGAGGACAGAATGCTCCCCACAGCCTGGCCCACATTCTTTCCTGCACTGGCCTTATCTTGGCCATGCATGTATAAAATACCCTCTTATCTCTCCGTGTCTTGCTGACTGGGTTAGCAGAGGACATTCATTCCACTCCAGAGAGCATTCTGCTTTGATCTGTTCCAAGAGTGGGAAGAGGGCCAGAGTCAGAGCTTAGAAGCGGAAAACATAAAACAATCCACTCTCTCTGATGATATTTCTGCCAGATGTCTGGTGCCTGGCCACACTACAGCACTGTCTGACTTACCCAGAAGGGACTATTAAAACTGAGAGCTTAGATTCTCGAGTGAGTCTTCCCCAAAATAGTGGCAATATTTTCTTGTCATCCAATAGCTAGGTTTGCCAGTCAGAATGACTATTATTAAAAAGTCAAAAAATAGCAGATGTTAGTGAGGATGTGAAAAAGGGAAACATTTATATATTGTTTGTGGGAAGGCAAGTCAGTAAAACCTCAAGGGAAAACAGTATTAAGATTTCTCAAAGAAATAAAAATAGAACTACCAATCTACTTTTTTACATAATTAATCTTTTTCGAGACAGAATTTTGCTCTTGTTGCCCAGGCTGGAGTGCAACGGTGTGATCTCAACTCACTGCAACCTCTGCCTCCCAGGTTCAAGTAATTCTCCTGCCTCAGCCTCCCAAGGAGCTGGGATTATAGGCATGCGCCATCACGCCTGGCTAATTTTTATATTTTTAGTAGAAACTAAAAATGGGGTTTTGCCATTACATGATTCTTTTCCTTTATGTAGATACCCAGTAGTTGTATGTACATAAAGGAAAATAATTAATTATGTAAAAAAGATACATTCATTGGTACATTTATCACAGCATTATTCACAATAGCAAAGATGGAATCAATCTAAGCATACATAGGCAGATGATTGGATAAAGAAAATGTTGTCTATATACACAATGGAGTACTCTTTGGACATAGAAAAGAAGGAATTTTACAGCGACATGGATGGAACTGGCCATGTTGGATGGCCAGTATCTTAAGTTATGCAACTCAGAAACAGAAAGTCAAATACCAATGTGTCCACATGGACACGAAGTGTGGACTAATCAACACTGGAGACTTGGAAGTGTGGGATGTGAGGGGGGCTGAGGGATGAGAAATTACTTAATTGGCATAATATACGTTATTTTGGGTAATGCTTGCACTAAAAACCTAGACTTCACCACAACTCAATATATCTGTGTAACAAAACTTCTCTTATACCCCATAAATGTATTGTTTTAAAAAGCTAGCTTTGCAATTGTTATTCTATTTTTCAAAATTGAACAATACATT